AACAAAAAGTGAAACGTTGAATCAACTTGTCCACAAGTGTTGCATAAATTAGTATTCACAATTTGCCATTTACATTTTTTTCTTTTGAGGCAATAAACCTGTGAATCATCTTAAAATATTTTTGTTTAATTTCACTGTTACGAATTTGCTTTAATTTAAATGTAATTTAAATGTGATTTAAATCTAAATCAAGAAAGGAATTCCCAAAATAAATGACAATTGGTTCTCTTGACTTCCGTATCAACAAATTAGTAATCTTTTATTTTCATATATATATCTATATAAACATGTATAATACAGGGGCGGTATTCTGAACCCTGTGTTATCTCTAATATTGTTGTATCTTTGAAGATAAGATAAAGTTGGTATTCTGAACATTGTTGTAACTTTTGTGTTATCTTTTGTTGTATCTTTTCTCTCATCTTATTGGCCGCGCCTACGCTCATACTTTGGTGCGCTTGTAATTGTGCGTATTATTAATAAAGTGGCATTTAATCCTCATTTGCATATGCGCACGGGAGATAATATGTCAAGATAATTGGTATTCCGAAAGTTGTTGTATCATTTATCTTACGGTATCTTATCTTGCATGGTATTTACAACAATATTTACAACAGGTAGGGGGTTGTTGTATCTTTCGTGGTGATATAATGGCGGCAATATTTTTTGCCCAGAATCAACTTCGTGCTAATAGACGAGTTAGAAGAAGATTGTGTGTTGACCGGAAACATCACAGATGAGAACTTTCTAAGATATTACATGCTAGGATATGACGATTTTAATGCTCTCATCTTAACCAATATAGTGAAAGCGTGATTTGTCTTCATGATCCACATTCAACAGCGCAATGATGACGCGCGTAATTAAGTGCTCAAATAACTAATTACGCCCAAGATTAGTATGCGCTAGGCGCATCTTCAGATATGGCATAAAGTATTCCTATTGGTTGACCTACTTATCATGCTTATATAAAATAGATTTTGATTGGTAGGGTCCATAAAAATGGGCGTGTCATCAATGGTCAAAGAAAATATAGAGGCGGTCCTTCAAGAGATAACACAGGGATAAAACAATGTTCAGAATACCAACTTACAACAATATTAGCGCTCTGTTATCTCTGGAAGATACAACAAAAGATAACACAAAACTTACAACAATGTTCACAATACTGCCCCAGGTGTATATATACAGATATATTTATATACATTTATCTCCATACACATTCACATATACATTCACTTCTAAAACACAACACATAAATAACATTGACATTTCACATACCGGTACATGTAAACTAAATCTGAATGATTGAAAATCAAGTAAGGGAAGCCAGTTAATATAAAATTAAAGGCCATTATATTTTATACGCAAGATTTTAAACATAGAATGTGTCTTAAAACTAGTATAGCGCCTTTATCATAATGGTTGAATGAGCTCTTAAAATTCATGTATTATTAATATGAACTATAACATGAACTACCTGTAAATAAAGACAACTTGTTGTGCCTGCCTTGAGTGGTTTATATATAAAGGTTTTACTATCATAGGCCATTTTTTGTAACCAAATTCATGCATATGCCTTTGAGAAGTGCCTCAATACGCATTGTTTCATTCACCTGTTTCGAATAAATGTATGTTAATAGTCAGATTCAAAGATTATGTCTTGACCTACCTAACAACACATAATACATGCAAGGTGCATTCTGACTATTGAAATAAATTATTTGTGACAGGTGAATGAAAAAATTTGTGTCGAGGCAATTAAGTATAAATTTAGTTACATATTTTGCCCACACGATATGTTATGACACAATATGTCGTTTGGGCAAATAACATCTCAACAACATTTTCCTTTCTTTTGAATAACTAACGTGGAAAGATGTCCATGGTAATACAAAGTGTAACTCATTGTAGGAGCAGCATTATATCTATTCTTTTTCATATGAATACATGCATCAACCTTAAACAACAATATCTATTAGTTGAATTTTTACATAAATGACCGACACAGCTTTTCTGATGGCTGATCTCATCTTATTTACTTTTTTTACAATAATGTTAAGAAAAGTCTTAGGAAAAGTGAAACATAACATAAATTTTCCTGATTTTTTTAATTTTTTAAAATGCAGAAAAAAACTATCCCCTCACAACTTCCTTTACTATGGCATGTAGATTGTAAGAGAATCAACAATTGGTTGCCTGCACATGGGACATTCCGTTACCCTGGCGGCGCATTCACTACATGTTGCAAGATGCTTACAGGGCAGGAAAACTGTACTGAGCTCATTGTCCAGACAGATTTTACACAGCTGCTTGTCCAGGTAGCTCGGGTCAGAATTTCCACTGGATACCGCTACAGGAAAAGAAAGATAAACATGAATCATTGTGTTAATATAGGGAAGAGAAATTGCAGGGCCTGTTTTATAAAGAATCACGATTGATCTTGATTTGCAATCTTACAGAGTTGAGATTAAAGTATTTAATAAAAATTCAATAAAAATTCAATCAAAATTCAGTGGCCGTTTTATCAGAGTCACACCGATAGAAAGAGAATTTCTCAAGCTCTTGAGCAGGAGATTTTAATCGCCTATTTCTCTCTTTTCATCTGCCTTTTCTCCTCTGTACCATTCATAGTGGCCGTTTCATCGGATGCGTCCGGATGCATTTGATCAAAATCAGGTTAGTTTGAAAGGGGTATTAGCAATATAGGGGAGTCGATTGGGTCCACATGTTATGTCATTACCGTTACTGCGGCATATGTGACCCCTGTTGACTCGTAATTTGAAGCGGTGCAGAAAATGAGGTATTTATTTGCTTTTGTACAATTCTATCATATACTGGTGAAAGGGAAAATAATTTCTATTCCTTTATATTTGTATTCTATGTTCATTCACCTTTCTATTGATAAAGTGGTATTTTCATTGGATGAGGCCTTTATTCAAGTCATGGTAAAATCATGGGAATGATGTCTTCCATCACTGGTTACAGTGTCTACCAACCTGGACATCGTCCACAATCCAGAGGAGAGCAGCTGTATTTAATGTATGTAAAAGGGGAGAAAAGCCAGAGGAATACTTACATGTTTGAGGTTTAAGGCTCCCAATAGGAGTGACTGGAGCTACCGTTCTGGGAGATGAGTTCATTCTCGGATTGGGCTCATCATGGATGCTGAGTCCTGCCAGTTTTCGGCCTGCCCATTAAAAAGAGAAATATACCAGGTTACCCACTATATGCTCGATTATTATTCAATAAGATCATAAAAAAGAAAACTTTTGGGAGTCGGTTGACACATGCAAACCTGACACTATCATTGGTTCCAAAACCTGGCTTAAATCAGACATGCTGGACAGTGAAGCTTTGTCGCAAAGGTAAAACATTCAGCAGCAATTGGTAGGGACAGATTAGATGGATGGCTATGGTGGTGTCCTCCTGGCAATGAAGCACGACATCATTGACACAGGGACTATTTTGGACACCCAAAACGAGCTTGTTGCCTCAGAGATCAACATAGATGGAGGTCCTACCCTTGGAGTAGACCAACTTCAGTTGTATGGCTTTCAGGTGATCTTAATTAACCAGACATCGACTGGCAGTCCGAAGCTGTTACAGGTCATCAGTACAGCCTATCCCTCAACAACATCTTCCTTATAACCTTTCAAGATTTATCCTTGTACCAGATGGTAGACCTCCCAACAAGGCAAAATTTAGATGTTTTCTTTACTAATTGCCCATCATTAATGCGGAAGTGTATTCCCCTACCAGGAAGTAGTGACCATGATATGGTTCTCGCCGTAGCTTACATCAGAGCCAAGTTAAATAGACCTGTCAAGAGGAAACTCTATATTTGGAAGAAGACAAACTTTGAGGAGATCAGAGATGTAATGCGTATCTTTCAAGACGACTACATGCAACGTACAACCGTAGATACACTAGTGGAGACACAGTGGGCAGAAATAAAAAATGGATTCTGCAAATACCATTCTTGCAAATCTCAACTTCTCCCCACCATCAGTGACTTGGCCAAAGGTCTTGATGATAAGCAACAAATTGATGTAATTCTACTTCACTTTTCCAAAGCCTTTGATCGAGTGCCACCTGAATGGCTTTTAGGGAAACTTGATTTCTATTAAATACGGGGAAACCTGCCTCGGTGGATAAGGGACTTTCTAACCGGCCGCTCTAAGCAGGTAGTACTGGATGGCACAACATCTCATTCAACTGATGTCTTATCTGGTGTCTCCTAGGGAATGGTCCTCGGCCCACTTCTAGTATGGGAAACAAAATGGCAGATGGCTTTCAGCCCCACCAAATGTTAAGTTCTGAGAGTGAGCAACAAGACAAACAGCATCATTTCCAGTTATACACTACATGACACTGAACTCACTACTGTTGATAATTCAGATTATATTCCACATACTAAGAATCTTGCTCTACCATTGGTCAAAAGTAAATCATGTGATGAAAGATAGTTTGCCCATCATTGATGGGAGAAGAAAAGTTTGTTGCACTGTGTAGATAGTAGTACTATCTACACAGTGCAATGCACTTTAATTGTATACGCTGCATATTGCTCTCCTCTTTAAGCGTTTTTAGTGTTAGTACGCAAACTGTGGTCACGCACGAATTATGGTCACACCACCACCATACTGCATACAGTGTACGTTTCGTACACCGTTTGCTAGCTGTTAATTGAAGACTTGTTGCTCTAAAATGAAATGTGAAAAGTGAAATGTTTCTGATGTGGAATATAAAGCAAATAATCACCTTTTGGTTTCAGGCGATAACAAACTATCTTTCCTCGGCGATCTGAATGTATACGCTATCTTTCCTCAGCTTCGCTTCGGAAAGATAGCTACATCCAGATCGCCTCAACAGTGATAGTTTGTCCCATCACCTTCACCAACTGTAATTATTTGCTTAATATCTTGGGGTCAACTCCAAGCTCAGCCGGAAACAGCATGTGCAAGAAAGCTAAAGAGGCTTTCTTTTTAGGAACTTACATGGCTGTCCACAACAAGTCAAGGATCAGGCCTACACAGCATATGTCCATCTCATCTTGGAGTATGCTTCATCCTGCTGGGAACCACACACCCACTAACAAGCCTGGAAAATTGAGATGGTCCAGCGCCAAGCAGCCTGCTTTGTCATTAGGGACTACCACCCAAGACACAGTATCTCCCAGATCATTCAAACCCTGGGATGGCAAACCCTGCAAGGAAGGAGAGCACAGGCGAATGTCATCATGCTATTTCGCATCTCCTTCTTTCCTAGTGTCATCAGCCTGTGGCATATGCTTCCTGCATCTACTAGCATTGCAATTCCATCACCACCATCACCATACATTTACCAAAGCTCACACACGTACCTCCAGAAGAAATACCCACTTTCAACAACATCACTTCAGGATAAATGTATTTCACCACTCCTTCTTTCCTAGCGTCATCAGCCTGTGGAATATACTTCCGCATCTACTAGAGCAGCCCCCAACCTTACACAGTTCAAAAGGGGAGCTAGAAGGAATCACACTAATGCCAGAGTAGACAGTTCGCAGGGGAATTTTTTTTTTACTTGCACCACCACACTTTTTACTTGTGGAATATTAAAAGGCAGTTTAGCAGCTACACCCTGCACATGGCACAAAAGCACTGCCCAAAGTACTAAGATACTTATTTAAGAGGCCGGTACTCAACTAAAAGAAGAAGACGTAGTGTGACATCGATTTTCACATTATCTTCAGTGTTTTATGCCTCAGTCACATTTAACTGGGATGCCGTGCGATGTTCCTGATTTTGGGGCATCGTGTGGTGTCTAGAGGTTGGGGAGAAATCAGGCGACGAATTTGACATGAATAGGCATCGCCCGATGGGAATTGGGGGTCCGCATGGTAACCCCTAGGATAAGCAGCAGGCAATTGGCAGACAAGCGGTCAATATGTAAACATCAGATGGTGTATGGCCGACACCCTTCTGATGTCCCGCCAATTACTCTGTGGTGATCGGCGGGACGACAGCTGATAAGTACACATCGGCCGGACATCAGTCGGAAATCGGCTGATGTCTTCTGGGCCTCCTAGATTAACCAGTCGATCATCAAAGGGTGTTAACGTTGGCGTCCCCAATATAAAATTGGCTGGTTTGTGCAGCTTTCATCAGTACAGCTCAGAATATCATACAAGTCACACAAGATGCCAAAAGAAAAGAAAGCAGGAGCTAAGGAGAAGGCCTTCAGGCCTCCACTGCAACAGCAGGAAGAACCTGAACGTGATGCACAGGACGTTGAGGAGGTATAGGGGTGAATCGAGCATCAAGAAGTGTTCCCTGAGAGCCAGTCATCCGGTGGCAAGTTGTCAGATGAGCATGAGCAAATAGCCTTTTTCTTAAGGATCACCCATGCTTTTGTGACATGACATCCCCCAATTACAAGAACAGCAAGAAGGAGCACTACTGAGGGAGATCTCTGATGTAGTGGGTATATCTCGTGAGTACTTTTTACAAATGATATGGAAGTGTTTGCCATATTTCATCATTTTCATGCCTTTTTTCCACGCTTCACCAGTATCCGCTCAGACTTCTTCAAGCTCAAGCATCGCAAGAAGGGGAACAGTGGCAAAGGACAGGTTAAGCTGTTACCCCTGCAGACTTTCAAGCTCAACTGGTAAAATTTCCTTGACCATCATTACAAGGACTGCTGCAAATTTTCACACTGGGAAAGGTCGCCACACAGTTTAGCTCCAATTAGGACGATGATGACGGGGCCTCTTTGATTGTGTCAGCGTCAGTGTTGGCAGATGATTTGCCGCGTTCGCAAGACAGTGACCCTTGAGCGAGAGGGATACTGAGCCTGTAAAGTAGGACCTCCCGGAGGTACTCACTGAGCTGTTCACCGAGACCAAGAGAGACCTGCACAAGACACAGGCTGCTGTGGGAAAGGTATTATCTCTGTACTCTCAGACAATGGCTTGACACACAGCGATATAGTGTTGTATGTGTACCTCCCGGAAGTCGAAAGCCAGGGAATGATAGGAGTTTCCTGATGCCAGAAGGTCAGCGTGATAACCAACTTGAGGCCTGAGTACAGAGGTGTTCTACCACTGCAACATAAAAAATATACAGAAATGTAAAACACAGAATGCAATTCACTATTACATACTTTAAGTATTATGTATTTTCATAATCATTAATTGTACAGGAATGTAAAACACAAACTACAAAGTCATATTACATTCTGTATGTGTTTCTACAACTATTACTCACCCATAACGCTTGGCTATCCGCGGCCAAACATGTTCAAACAGCTCTTACACATCTCGGTTCTGTCCTCAGGAACAACTTGAAGTCGCCGTGATGTTCATGCCACAGCTCGTTCATCAGCCTTTCATACAGCCCATACGAAGGTCGCCTCATCAGCCAAGGCCGCACCCTCCATCTTCTTCGCCGTCGTTGTCATTGTGCCTTCTGCCTTCTGTTGTCTCTTCTGCCACTAAAGCAGCCAGTACAATCTTAAACCTGTAGCCTGCCATAGCCTGTCACTAGCGCAACTCTCAAGCATTGTGGAGGTAGAAGTTCTCCTCTCTTTGACTTCATGAATTCGTAAAAGTTTGTGAAATGAGATGGAAAATCCGAAAGACATGAGGGAGCCTGGCCAGTGACCCACTGCACAGCAGGGGTCAGCCAGGCAACGGGCACTACCCTGTGGATAGGCAGGCAGCCCAATGATGAATCTATTTTTGTTGGTTCTTTCAGGATGAACCTGCAGTTGAGGACTGCCTGATCTTGAAAGGTGATTTTCTCCTTATCCCACACTCTATAAGGAAGTAAATCTTGAGCAAGCTTTATGAGGTCACCAACGTATTGAGAAGACATGACTCCGGGCTAAGTCTTCATGATGACATCGGGGCTACGGTGAAAGATTGCTCAGTCTCCCAAGAGACCAAGCCGTCACAGCCCTGTGAAACTCTGCTTCAGTATGAGATTCCTTCGAGACCTTGGCAAGTCTTGGGTATAGACTCATTGTTGCCGACTCCTTTTCGAAGTTTCCCTTCATCTGGAAGACACCTCATGAATGTACCAGTGCTGCTGTTGTCAATACAACTTGCCAGTTGTTTGCTGAGCAGGAGATTCCAGAATGCATCAAGAGTGACAATGGTAGACATTTCAACTCCTCAACTTTGCAACAAAGTGGGGATTCAATCATGTCATGTCAATTTTGGTAACATGGACAAAAAACGTTATCTGAACTGCTTAACTACTGAGTTTCACTAAAAGCAAAGTTTAAAAGATAGTAATAATTAGGTGGACTTTTAAGCAATCAATCACTTACAGAAACATGGATTAATAAAATATTTGATCAGAAAGACTTCGAACTTGGACTCAGTTTATTTTGCCGTATGGGGGATGGGATATGTGATCTTATACATGTACGTTATGTATGTGTTCTTACACACTCAAATACAACCATGCTGTACTGGATTCAAAACTAAGTTCAAATGTATTTACGTGTTATTCTTATGAAGTTATACAACCAAACAATGCCAATACAATTTTTTTTTTTTGAAAAATCAGAATATTCCGAATTTTTGGTCCTACAAATCCAGAAAATCAGAATATTCCGGATTATTTGGAAGGGTTGGCAGGTACATGTATGCAATAATCTTCTGTATTAAAAGCACGACTCAAAACAACTGTTTACATGTATATATACTATGAATATACTTCTCGTTACTAAATGCACGTAAGCTTTTACAGGCCTTATCAGCAAAGACAAAGTAGCGAGTATTTCGCACACGTACCTGAATATCTACAAAATTTGATGCCGTTGCTGAGGCGCTTTCAGACTCCAGTTCCTTAGGTAGTTTCCTAAGGTAGTCCACATCATGGCCTCCTGTAGCCTTGCCTACACTTGGAGTTGGGTCAATGCCCTGACGTTGAGCTTCCCAGATTGAATCTAGGAGCTCTTCGGGGTGAGAGAACTGTTGGCCTGTCTTCTCGAAGTGCTGCGTTACAACGTAACGGATGAGATCAGTGTGGTATCCCATTTCAACTGCCATCTCCGCAGTTTGGCTTTGCATGAAGTCATCGATGGAAGCTGGTGGGAGAAAAATGCAAGTAGATATTATTGAGGCAACTCCTTTAAATGTTAAATGCTCTTGTGAACTTCAAGGGTCCATATTTGAGGGTAGGTTCTCAGACTGCAATACTGTTGAAAGCCAATAATATCTTTAAAAGCAAACAAACAAGATCGAGTAAATCCTACATAATCTCATGGCAGCATGTAAGAGGAAAAGGATACCACAACCCTCATCTGTGGTTATAAATTAAATTGTGCTGAAATTTGCTGCAATCAATGCTTTCCCCTAATAGCTTAGTGAGTGCAATAATCAACAGATGAATCCGCTTACAAGTTAATTAGCGATATAATTCCAACTGTCAGTAATACAAGTATTTTTTTTTTCTCCTGCAGAACCCCATATCTTGACAATTATGCTACTTCCTCATTGACATGTTTTGACAATTCTCTACCTTTCTGCATTATTCATTTTTCTGTGCTTTTTAAAATAATGTAATGTTATTGATGTCAAGACTTAAACTGTTTTTCCTCTTCCTTTCTGTGCCATTACTTTGGCAGCTTGGCTACGACCAGGGAAATATGTGTAAAGCGCCATGAGCGTCAGAGCCTGACAGATACCGGCACTATATGAATAACCATATTATTTATTTATTATTTATTTAATATTATATGTACTCCCTTGATTTCAAAAACGAAAATAAGTAGGACAGGCAGGCATACGACTTACAAGTGGCATTGCTCGGCTCATCTATCAGCTTTGATTTCAAGGCAGATGGCTCTGTTGTCTCAATTTTTTTCGGCTTCGGTTTGAAGTTTATTGCCGCCGCTGCTTCCGGTTCCTTGTGTTTGGATTCGAACTCTTGAAATGCAGCAGCTTTCTCTTCCTCAATCGTCATCTCCTTTTTTGACTTGCTTAGAGGTGGGGATGGTTTGGATGAAGCTTGACTAGGTCTCTCCTGGTAGGAAGCCTGAAATCTGTAAGGTGGCTCGACATGGGAGTACGGCTCTTCTGTTCCACTAAAGGTTGGGGCAGTGAAGTGTAGAGGCTAAATAAAGATCAATACAAGCATGGTTAGCTGTGGAAATTCTTATAACAAGTATTTAAGCTTTATATTTCTAGCTAAACTACAGAAGCAGAATACTGTAATTTGTTGAAATTACTTGTGCTGTAAAAAAGAAATGTCTATCACCACATCCAAGTGAAAATGTAAAAGAAAAAAAATGCTAACAATAACAGAAAAAAAATAAAATAAAATACTACTACAATTAATAATAAACCGTTTTGTGGATTGCACATAGTACATTACATGTGTACATACTGATACACCTGTAAGTGTGTCCCTATGTTTTGATATATTGTTAGTGATATTTTTGAACATGTTAGGATTTCCCTCTTTATTGCATCATTTCTGGTCAACTACTACATGAACTCATGCAGCTTTAATAAGATCAGGAAGGCGAATCTAAAATTCTATAGGGCAAACCAGGACGTACCTCAACGTAATTATGGAGACCTGTCCCTGCAAAATCCTGCTCATTCTTGCCCTGAGTTGTAGTTTTAGTGCCCTACAAGAATTTCAAAGAATTTCAAAGAGTTCCAAGATATAAAGAGGAACTTGAAACTAGAAACTACTTGAAACCTTTCACAATGTGTCATAGCTATTTCTGGAAATATTTCAAGAAGTTAAGAGGGAAATACTATTAAAAGTTCATGCTCATTCAGCAAAATAAAAAGGTAATATTACATATTAACCAAATCTCATATAAAATGAAAAATATGCATTAATTTCGACAATAAAACCATTATAGAGAGAGATCACAGAATATCCTCTGGCTAATAAAAACAAACACTTGAACACAATGAAGAAAAAGAAAAAAAAGAAGAAAAAAAATAATCAGATTTTCAGCATAAACAAGATTGACAAAAAGTTCATAGATGGGGGATGCATCTCAGCTGATTAATATCATCACTACACAAACCATAGAGGCCTGCCTATACGGTCATTTACAACATATTTATTTACAGTAAAACATGTCTGGAGTTTAAATGGAATGAACAATGCTGCCACATAAATGTACGATCTGGCAGTGATTGCACCTGGCTTTATTGCATAGGATCATGGTTGCACAGGGTATCGGGTTTTACGTAGAGTGTTAGGGTTACCGTTGGATTATTTGGTCCAGGGCTGAATTTTCAAATTTGGGTAGAGTGTGACATTTACTACATAGCAATTGTTACAAGACATGTGCCTCTCTCTCTCTCTTCAGTTTCTGACCATCATTCTTTTAACTATACTTCTGCATCACCAGGAACCCCCCCCCCCCAATTTTGTCTCCCTCCCCCCTTTTGCTTACATTATTTAATTGTCAGTGCTCATGAGGCCTCAATCTCACTATGAATATGACAGACAAAGAAAGCGGACAAAATATACAGTTCCTCAGGTAGACAAAGGAACATCCCTTCACTGATATTATGTAAAAAGGTGAATATGCATGTGACACCTGTTCTACACATTTTTACATAATAGCAGTGAAGGGATGTTCCTTTGTCTACCTGAGGAACTGTATATTTTGTCCGCTTTCTTTGTCATTCATATTCATAGTGTCTTCACTTATCTTGAAGCTCTGGCCAGTCCTGTTAAGAATGATCTCATACATGGATTTCCTCATATCTTTTTTTTTATGAATGAAATAAAGGAAATGAAATGAAGTACAATCACTCACAGGTGTGCTTATGGGCGGAGGGTTGACCTGCTGAACATGAGCGATGAAAGCCTGCCCTCTTTGTTGGATCAGCCATTCGCATCTTGGGAACCACTTGGCATGCTCTGTCCATGGCTCATCTGTCGGCTCCCAGTTCTTCAGACCTCCGTCGCAGTAGAAACACTTGCATTCATCAACTAATCCTGTCATAGCAATCATTGTGATCCATTTACAAATTAAACAAAACTTTGTCTTAAAAAAAGAATTTGTCTTGGATTGTTTTACATTATTCAAAGTCGTTTCAATGATTTGACTTTTTTTTGCTATGTACATGTAGGCCCACAATTTTATGTAATAAGTTAAAGGAAACATAAAAGGATAGAACCAACATTAGAGGAACTTGGTTATATTTTAAAGGAATTTAAAGGTATTCAGGTCTGTGCCATCTACTCAATCTCTTTAAAAATTGCAATTATCAGCGCACAAGCTAGTGTATTCACTGCATGAACTCCTAAGGCAGAAATCTGAAAAGTCATCTACATGTATTGTTTTTTCAATCATGTACATGTACATGCAGATCCAGAGGGACAACCTATTTGGAATGGAGAACACATCTATGTATGTAAATCAAAATCAAGCAACCAACACTGTTGGCCCTACCTGTGAAGTAAAACCCAGCTTTGGCTAGAATTCGTGGAATCACGTGAAGTCCTGGGTTGCCCGGCCAGTTCCTAAATGTTCCTAGCCTTGCATTTTCCTGCACAAAATTAGGGTGTTTGCAATTATTTAAGGGTCCCATCTGTGCCCTAAGGGATCTCTGCTGCTGAAGAAATTGTCCTGCCCTTAGCTGGTCTTGAGTTGGGACAGGTGATGAGTAGCTCCGTATCGCCGCTGGCATACCAACGTGCATCACCGGAGGAGTTGAAATTGGCAAATTACCTACATCAAGACCTTTCACATAGGGGCAGCTCGGGAAATGTGTTTTATGTTCCACTGCTGGTACGTCGCATGGTTTCCATCTACTGATTTGTCCAAAACACGCAAAGCATTGAACAGAGTCGTCGTTATTAAGATAGTAGAATCCAGCCTTTGCTAAATCGCGGGGCTCGATGGGACTTGTCCTTGGCCAATTCTTGAATGACTGCAACCGCACATGCTCCTGATTGTATTTCCCAAACATACTTGGTCCTTCCTCTTCCTCTTCCTCTTCCATTTTCTCATCTTTTGCTGCAGAACTACTGCTGCTTGCAGAAGACCTTACAAGATCTCTTTGGGTTCACTAGGCTCAACCCTCTCTAACATGGCTTCTTTTTCTTTCGCCCGTCTCTCAATATCTCTCTGTGACTGCTCAATTTTACTACTAATTTTCTGTGCAACCTCCGGTCTCTCGTTCATCTCCAATAGTGGTACATTCGGAGTAATCCTTTCATTTGCAAAAGCACATGTTTTGAAAAGTCTTTTGTGTTCTCCCATAGCAGTATCCTCATATTCCCAACCTTCTATCTGCCCTCCACATGAAAAGCATTTTACTGCATCCCTGACACCAGTGTAGTAAAACCCAGCCCTTGCAAGACGTGAAGGATTCATTGGACAGTCCCCCGGCCAATCTTTAAACGTTTCCAGCCTGTTGAGCTCATTATGCATTCCACTACCAGAGACTCTTGCTTCAATCTTGCCTCTGTTTATCCTTCCGTCAGGAAGAGTCATAGGTTCACCATCATATGCGGATACTGGTCCTTGACAGTCAGCTTCATCATGGGCACACACTGCACATTTTATGATTTCAATTCCTTCCTTCATTGTATATAAATCCGGTTTTATGTCGGCAAGGAGTGATTTCAATGTCTGTCTGTGGCCATTGAAGTGTACATACAGAACATCAGCCGACATGATTTATCATACTGTCATCAACCTTTCCAATTCTTACAAAGTTTCCTTTGAAAGCAATATCCTCAACACTCCTGGGAATAAGGTGATGCAATTACTCAGGCTGAAAGATGTAAGATTATAGCTGTATAAACTGAAGATTGTGCTACTTTGTATCAAATTAACTATGAAAATTCGAATCAAAGTAATGTCCTGTTGCTCCTACGTCCTGTTTTTAATCATGTGATGTTCCTTTTATGATGATTGACATGGATCTTTTAATCTGTGAATGTAGTGTCAACTTTAGCACCTTACATGTTCCACTGTGTGCGGTATTCTCCTGATTGCCTGTCAAGAGTTGCTTCGTACAGAAACCTTAAAAAAAGAAAAAAAGAAAACAAATAGCTCTAGTTATGAAATTGTAGATTTCTTTCAAAACTGTTTTTTTTTTCCTACAAAATTTCAAAATTTAGCAGGTACTGGCCATATTACCTACATGTACATTGTAAGTTTCTTCATGCACTTATCCAGGACTTCACAAGCCTACATCTAGAAATCAATTAATCTTTGACAATACAGTGTAAGTTATTGAGAAGAAATTTTGAGTCAATCTGTTCGATAATCAAGTAAAAATCACCTGCTGGTTGTTATTAAAGTTGTGATCAATGCTAGGCTTTGCTAGCAAAAAGAATATTCAAATTGTTCTTACAGATCAAATGTTGTACAGATCTAGATCTTCTATTGAATTGGTGAACTGTGCACACTGTGTGTAGGACTAGGACTCTAGCCGTGGTCTAGGAGATAGTCTAAGCTGAACATGAGGTGAAACCAAATCCTTAATTCTTTTCGAAACACACTGAATACTTTGGGATGCTTGCATCATCATGAGTCTACTTAAAGCCAAAGGGAAATATTCCCACTTCCTTCTACATGTATCTCAATCCTGTTTACAAGGAAATGTAAACAATAACCAGAGTCACTGTGCATGCGCTGCTGCTAAGCAACTTTTGCAAGGGGGATTCCCCTATTCACGATCATGACGTCACATCAACATCTATCAACAATATTTATTGTGCGCATATTTCAGCCTAAAAACTAGACTCTATAAGTACAGAAATGTCTACTTACGGTCTAAGTTAGATCTATCTAAAATGTCTCTACAATGCCTGGAACTCGGATATGTACTCACCATGGTTAAAACGGTTACATTTACGAACGAAAAGCAACAAAATCCCGCGTATAGTCCGTCAGAGGAGGTAAGAGAGTGACACTAAAATGGCGACTATTCAAATGGCTGATGGGAGTGCCAGCTTGCGCGCGCTGCATGCCAGCGCAGCTGCTAGTATAGTCCACGTAGAGCTAGAGGTCAGTGGCGTACGTACATTACATATCCAGTGTGTAAGCGCACGCGTAAGTTCTACAACATTCTACAACACCCCCACATTCCCCAGAACGTATTTCCGGTTGGTGCATATTGTGCAATCCGCAATTTATAATTAACATGATTACAAAACAATTCGTTTAAGAGGGAGACAATCAAATTCCCATTTTTCATTGAGTTTTCTAATATTCTGTAAAGCGCTTAGACACGTCGTTGTATTGATGTATTGGGCACTCTATAAAAAAGAAGATATAGATGGTGGCTTGGTAAAGCGATCTATGCAAAGTAAAAGGCATATATATATTTTTTTCTTTAAATTATCATTTGCAGGGCATATATATATATTTTTTCTTTAAATAATTATTTGCGGGGATTATTTGACCTTATGCCTATACATTATTTTTTACATAGCCTGAAATCTACCCGAAATCCTGTTTTAGTGAGGCTGACTAAGTTCTAGCTTACACCTAAACTATATAGTCAAACAAAATAGATAAAATATAGGCCTATAATAATAATAATAATAATAATAATAATAATAATAATAATAATAATAATAATAATGAAAATGATAACGAAATAATGTTGATGATAATAATAGCCCTACTCTACTTCAATTCCAGTACTACTACGTACATTTAGCTGCTATAGCTACTACTAGCCTCCTATACTAGCTATACTACTAGCCTACCCACTATACACTACTACTCAGGGGCGTACGCAGGATTTTTTCAAGGGGGGGGGGTTTTAAAATATTTTGCTCCCGAAAATTTGAAAATCGCGCCGGCCGAAAAGTCGCTCAGTGGGGGGGGTGGGGGGGGGGGGGGGGGGGGGGGGGGGGGGGGGTAAGCGGACACTATTTTTTTTTTTTTTTGGAGGCCAAAATAAATCGCAACGACTCAGCCGGCAGAAAATTCGCTCAGTGAGGGGGGGGGGGGGGGGGGGGGGGGGGGGGGGGGGGGGGGGGGGTAAAAGGACACTTTTTTTTTTTTTTTTGGTCTCAAAATTTCAAAATTTGACATTTTTTTACGTATGGGGGGGGGGTAAGGTCACCTTATTTAGGTTAGCCGTGGGTATAAATTTTTTTTTTTTTTTTTTTTTTTTTTTTTTTTATAAATAAAAAAAAAAAAAGCCAAAGGGGGGGGGGGGGGTTTAGGTTTTTTAGGGGGGTTTACATACATTAAAATACCAAAGGGGGGGGGGGGGTTTGAACCCCCAAAACACCCCCCTGCGTACGCCCCTGCTACTACTACTACTACTACTACTACTACTACTACTATACTACTAGCCTACTACTACTACTCCTACTACTACTACTACTACTACTAAGTCTAGGCCTACTACCTGACTACTGCTACTACTACTACCTCTACTACTCAGGCGAGTACGCAGGGGGGGGGGGTGGTTAAACCTTCCCCTCAATTTTTGTTTATGCGTGTGTTTCGGAGGAACCCCCCCCCCCCCCCCCCCCCCCCACCCTCAGATTTTGTTCAATTTATACAAAAAAGAAAAAAGTGAGCTGAACGATATATCGATCGGCATAAGTTTCCAATTTCCGGGACCAAACAAGAAAGGTGCTCTTACCCCCCCCCCCCCCCCTTCCCCGCCCCCATCCCTTTTTGTGTGTGGTATGATCCTTCTTATATAAGGTTTTATTGGTTTCACAAAGGAAGTGGACTAGCCAAGTTTGCCCTAATATAGCCGCAGAAGGCCTACATGTCCACAGTTCCGCTAAAATGGGAGGGAATTCCCCATATCATTAGTCATCATGTCATACTTAGCTTTACTTTTTCTAAATCGATTTTCTACCACTTTCACTTGTACTTTCTGGGCTTTTTAACTTGTTTCACCTAAGCCTACGAAGCACTTTCCCATAATTATTGAGTCCATTTTTTCCTATACAGAGAGTACCTGAAAATATTCTTACTTTTTTCCTTAAGGAAGTCCACCCTGATTTAGACCGCCTTAAACCAGCTTAATATCGAGGTTATACTCCCCCTTTAAGATTTTTTTTTCTGCAGCAGTTCTCTGTGCCCGCCAATAAGAGAGCCTGGAACCGTCACTGGGATCTTGCAATAATTAAACCTCCCATAGCTGATAAATAAAGTGATTGCCATAAAAACACTATCAGCTACATGCAGTGTAATGACGAGAGTGTGGAAACATAGACCAGATTCTGGTCGTTTCAAATATATGTTACCTTAGTTTGCCACGGTGCGTGTGCGTGCACACCCCACGAATTCACCATTCCCCACGAATTTACCTACCCGAAATTCGCACGTAATTCTCTTGTACATAATATATTGCTCGTGTGTGAACGAGCGCGCATGTTAACCAAAACTACGAAAAAGAACAGTCCAGACAGTGGACTATAACTTTAAACGTGGAACTTTCCCCCTTTTACATTTTTGTTATAGCGCGAGTGATAACAGCCTGTCAAAACAATGTAACTGTGTTTGCTGCCCTCTCGATGCTTTGATCATGTTCGCTACTTTTCGGTTTGTGTTTGTGTTTATCCGAAAAGGAAAACAAAATGTGGTCAAAACTGTTGCTCGCTTGCTTTGCTCGCAAGTAAATAATCTTGGATGCATTGAATACCACTTGAACTAATGACACTACAATATGGGCATATAACATCACAATCTAAACCCAAATAATGAAACTAATACTAATAATAAATGGGTCTTATTTATCTATATAGGGTAGCTATTACAGTAATAATAGTGCTCATCATGCGGGCCCTACCATTATTATTACCCAAGCAATTGCCAGGTACCCATTTTTGAAATGTGCATTAATTTCTTCCTAGAGGACGTGAGTGACAGGCTTGGATTCGAACCTCAACCCGCCCTCCGATTATTCGCGCACCTCCCTCCCCAAACTCGAGGATTTGCGGGCTCCTCGCTGCTGGAATTTGAAGTTGTGGTTGCCAGAATATCCAGGGGGAGGGGGGGGGGGCAGCTGCAGTCCACTATAAAGCCCTCTCCTCCCTCCTCATACCGATAACCATTTCGTGGTGACTATGGACTAGGGCGATGAAGGAAACCCTACCTCTAGCTCTAGACTCTAAAGCAATGCGTGAACGCAAGT